TCTTTAACTGGGGAGCCCAGAACTGGACACAATACTCCATGGACTTTTATTCTGTCTCCAACAGTGGCCAAAGGCAGATGCCTTTAACCACCAAATGCCATTTGCAAACGCAACATCTGCTCACTCACAGCAACCCCCAGGCTCTACAGCTGAGAAGCACATCGGTGCTTTTGGCTACAGCACTGATCCCGGGCTGTACTTCCAGCTGATTATTCATTGTGGCTCCCAGGTTTCCTTCTGACCCACCTCTGGCTCTCCAGAATACCATCTTCTGTCCCCAACTGTTGCTCACACTTCTTGGTTGGAGATCTTTTAGTCATTACATAAAAGCATTGGTTGGTAGTGGACCTCCAGAAGTCTTTAGTCCACCTTCCTGCTCAGAGCAGGGCATGAAGAGAGGTTCTCCTCCCCCTCTACTCTGCCTGGTGGAATATTGTGTCCAGTTCTGGGCCCCACAGTTCAGGAAGGACAGGGAACTGCTGGAGAGAGTCCAGCACAGAGCCACCAAGATGATGAAGGGAGTGGAGCATCTCCCTGCTGAGGAAAGGCTGAGGGAGCTGGGGCTCTTTAGCTTGGAGAAGAGGAGACTGAGGGGTGACCTCATTAATGTCTATAAATATGTAAAGGGTGAATGTCAGGAGGATGGAGCCAGGCTCTTCTCAGTGATGCCCAATGGTAGGACAAGGGGCAATGGGTGTGAGCTGGAACACAGGAGGTTCTGCTTCAACTTGAGAAGAAACTTCTTTCCAGTGAGGGTGTTGGAGCCCTGGGACAGGCTGCCCAGGGAGGGTGTGGAGTCTCCTTCTCTGGAGATGTTCAAAACCCACAGCCTAGAACACGGTGTGTTTGAATAGGATCTATGTTTTTAGTGATCTAAAAACCACTCAGAGACTGTATGTTGTGATCACTGTACGTTCTATGATGCGTAGTCTGAGTTAATAGCTGAGGTTACTTCTATAACCGGTGGAGTGAGGTACTTCCAGACCATGATTTGTTCCACCCAGAATGGTGCAAGCCACCCTCTGATGGTATCAGCTTCTGCCAACACAGGGAAGTTTGTCAACTGTCTTTACTAAACTGAAGAAAAGTGAAACAAATCCCATATTTAGTGATTTTCTTTGTGGTGTAGTGCTCCTCAAACATTTGAGCATTTGCAAACTCAACCAGATTTTCTTTTTTTTTCAAGTTTTTGATAAAAATTGACTAATAGATGTGGGACTGATCCTTGTCAACAATTAAACACTCATCCACTTGATGTCTTGTTCATGATGAAATCTTAAAAATTGCCATTTAACTAGTTATTAATCTGGTGCACGTAAAGCAGGCTGGCCCTGCAGGTTGGTGGTTGAACTCTTGGGTGACATTAAGTCAACTGCATTAAAGAAGTTGGTATCAGCGGGTAGCATGCAAGTAATTACCAAATTAATGATGTTAATTACAAGCTAGTTCAACCAGACCCTTTTTTGAGACTATTCCTGAAGACTTACTGATTTATTGCAGGCACCAGGTTCTCCGAATCAGGACAAGAAATGAGGAGGAGGTTAAGAAGTTACAACTTTTGGAATCTCTGGAACACCTTGAGGTGTGTTATTACCACAAAGACATTTTTCAACATTTCAAACTGGGGTAGGACTTTTCAAGGTAGGACTTTTCAAGGTAGGACTTTGCATCATCTCATTTGGAAGGTTCATAACCACACTGTGGCAGCTGCCATAAATAAATTTACTATCTCAATAACTTGGTGTTTGATCTGCAAGTTCTAGTACCAGGCTGGTGTTGAGGAGTGCCTGCATTCACATTTTCTTTTTACTGGGTTTACAATCATGGAATCCCAGACTGGTTTGGGTTGGAAGGGACCCTAAAGCTCATCCAGTTCCAACCCCCCTGCCAGCAGCAGGGACACCTTCCACTAGACCAGGTTGCTCAAAGCCTCATCCAACCTGGCCTTCAACACTTCCAGGGAGGTGGCAACCACAACTTCCTTGGGCAACCTGTTCCAGTGTCTGACCACCCTCACAGTGAAGAATCATGTTTGAGTGGATCTGCTCTTCATCTCAGTATCAAAAAATTTGTCTTTAAAGTGGAGATTCTAATCTTTTTGTACTTGTCTCCCGGTGTTGTGGGAGGAATTTATTAGTTAGAGTCTATGTTTTATTGAAGCAGGAAAACACACTATAAAATTCTAGGTTATTACTGTTTTTATTGCCATTGGTGAGAATTTTTATTATCACTTTCTTTACAAATATTGATTTGAATAGTAGAGAAAGGAAAACTTAGAAAAGGCCTACCAATGGAGAAATAAAAAGAGAAATCAAATCAATGGGGTTTATATTAGCTAATACAGAGCTTTTCTTGAAACTATTTATAGTAAATGGGAGAATAGTAAAATAATCATCACAGAAGACTAAAATTTCCTCTTGACTGAAGCTCTGCAGTCAGGGAAAATGCTGAATGTAGCCTCCTGCTGATCTTTGTTTGGTGTTTTTTTTTGTGAGTCTGTCACATTAACTGTTACAAGGTTGTGGCGAAGCCAAGCTAAAGAAGTTGTGCTTCACTGTGAGGGTGGTCAGACACTGGAACAGGTTGCCCAAGGAAGTTGTGGCTGCTCCTCCCTGGAAGTGTTGAAGGCCAGGTTGGATGAGGCTTTGAGCAACCTGGTCTAGTGGAAGGTGTCCCTGCTGCTGGCAGGGGGGTTGGAACTGGATGATCTTGAAGGTCCCTTCCAACCCAAACCAGTCTGGGATTCTATGATACTATGGTGAGTGCTGTAAGCACGACAGGGCACAATATTGCAGGAGTTGTTCAGTTTGGGAGAAATCAGCATTTCTAAAGCTTTAGAAGAGCTGTTTGCAAAATGTATTCCCCAAACCAAATTCATTTTTTTTTTTTCTCTTTTCAGCTTGATTTCTGGACACATCCCTCCACTCCTGCTCTCCCTGTGGACATGCGAATCCCCTCTAACAGTGTCCAAGCAGTCAAAGCCTTCCTGGAGTCCCATGGGATTGAGTACTCCATCCTGATCAAAGATCTCCAGGTAGGCAATGCCATTAGCATCTATTTAGCTTTTATATCCTTTGGAAACAAATAATGATTCACAATCTGGCCTCATTCATTAATTCATTGATTCTTCTATACTCTGCTTTCATAGAATCACAGACTGGTTTGGATTGGAAGGGACCTTAAAGCTCATCCAGTCCCAACCGCCCTGCCATCAGCAGGA